CTCCTACAAGGCTTCCATAAGGTATATAGACCTTCTTTAAATTAAGGCTCCTATATAACGGTAACTACCCACCTAAAGATGTCGTAGATTAAGACTCCCAGAGAGAATGCCTTGTGGGGGGATCTTGACATGTTCCTGGCATCTGCGTAAAGGGTGCCTCAATGAATGAATTCAAGTTGTTTGCTGGACCCTCAACCCTAAGCCCTGAAGTCCAAACCCTCATGCCCTGAACCAATTTCCTCAATATCCCTAAACCCTAAGCCCTAAATCCTAAAAGCTAATAAGCCTCCTAAACCCTCATGCCCTGAACCGATTTCCTCAATGTCCCTAAGCCCTAAGCCCTAAATCCTAAAAAAACCCATAAGCCCTAAACCCCAAAATCCCAAACCCTCAACCCTAAACCCTAAACCACCCTAAACCCCCTAAACCCTCAACCCTAAACCCTAAACCCTTAACCACCTAAACCCTAAACCCCCGAACCCTCAACCCTATCCCATCCCGGCCGTGCTCGCGCAGTCGCCAGCGAGGGCTCCAGTGCTGCTGACAAGCTGCGCGTCGAGGTCAAACTCCTAGGGTTAAAGGTTTAGGGCTTATAGGGTTAGGGTGTTTAGGGTTTAGGGCTTAGGGTTTAGGGTGTAGAGTTAAGGGTTTAGGGTTTAGGGTTTAGGGCTTAGGGTGTAGGGTTTAGGGTTAAGGGTTTAGGGCTTATAGGGTTTAGGGTGTATAGGGTTTAGGGTTTAGGGTTAAGGGTTTAGGGCTTTGGGCTTAGGGTTTTCAAACTCCTCAGGTTCTGGACAGAGGATTTTAGGGCTTAGGGCTTTAAGGGTTTAAAGTTTTGGAGAGGGTTTTTAGGGTTGAGGGCTTTAAGGGTTTAGGGTTTAGATAGGGTTTTAGGGTTTAGGGTTTTCAGGGTTGAGGGTTTAGATAAGGTTTTAGGGTTTAGGATGTTAAGGATTAGGGTTTAGATAGGGTTCTAGGGTTTAGAGTTTTAAGGTTTGGGGTCTAGGGTTGAGGGATTTATGGCCTAGGGTTTAGGGGTTGCGTCTCTTTTAGGGTTTAAGGGGTCTTTTACGGCTTAGGGTTTATAGCTTTTGCCCTTCCCCAAATGGTCCGAAGTAGCTATATGGGGGATACTTGCCCGAACCATAATGGTACTTCCCAACCCTGCGGCTCTAAGGACTCATACTCTAAGGCTTTTATTCTAAGGCTTTTGGGCCCAAAGACCATACCATCTAGGGCTTTTGGGCTAGTTTGAGCCTTAGGGTAAACGATTTACCACGCAGAGAAGCCCAGGTGGAGCTCACCCGCACGATCAGAAGACTTGGTAGATCGGTTACAGGTAGAGTTTTTTAGGTAGGGTATAGGTTTAGGGTTTAGGGTTTAGGGTTTAGGGTTTAGGGTTTAGGCTTTAGCGCTGGGTAGGATAACCCTAACCAGGACACCCATCTCACCCCCAAAAAAAACTATTTACTGTTACTACTAGGTCCTTTGGTGTTCCAAGCAATACCACAACCCTATAACCCAAACCCCGAACCCCTTAACCCTAAACCCCAGCATCGCTTGGCACCGGTTGGAGACTCCCAGTGTGAGCCACGAGTTTTCCAAGCCAATACCTAGAGAGCCCAATGCCCCTTTAATAAGGAAAATACCTAACGTCATAATAGTATAAGCCACCGATAATTTTGAGGTGTCTTCCTCAATTAAGGGGTATTGGGCTCTCTGCGGAACAAGGTCTGAGGGGGTATATCTTATCGAATTATTCTATATGGGACTCAAAGGGGGTACTAGATTTCTAATGATTCCGAGTCCGATACTAATTGAAGGAAACTACAGGTGGGGAGTTTAGGGCATATAGGGCTTCTATAAGGCCTCTATAAGGTTAATCGACCTTCTATGAAGCTCCTATAACGGCAACTACCCACCTGAAAATGTCATAGAACCCTAAGGGTCCAAGTGCCCAAATAGTAGGGTTTCAAGGTCCAAAAACCATTCAGAGTATGGATTTGGGGACCTAAAACCTTACTATTTGGGTCGGACCCTCTGGGGAACCAAGCAGTCCTCCAGCAACAGGGTGCACATCTCCTTCGCCAGCTCAGGCTCCTTGATCCTCGCATCCGGGGTTTAAGGCTTAGGGTTTGGGGTTTAGGGTTTGAGGTTTAGGGTTTAGGGTTTAGGAGTTTAGAGTTTGGAGTTTAGGGTTTAGGGTTTAGGGTTTAGGATTCAGGGTTTAGGGTTTAGGGTTTGGCTGCTTAGGGGCGTCGGGCCCCTTGAAGAGGCAAAGGTTTGGGATGTAAGGGCTTTAGAGCCCTAAACCCCTAAACCCTAAAACCCCTAAACCCTAAATCCTTAAACCCCTAAACCCTAAACCCTAAATCCCTAAAACCCTAAGCTCTAAAAGCCGTCTTAACCTCTCGGCACACCGCTCCAAGGACAGAGAAGGTGAACCCGGAACTCGCCAGCCTAGAATGTAAACAAGGCCCTTCATCCGCCCTCGGACTCCGAAACCCTAAAATCCTGCACCCTAAACCCAAAAACTCTAAAACCCTGCACCCCAACTTTAGGGTCTAAGGCTCTTTAGGGAGCTGTGGGTCGAAGCTTTATGGCTCTAAGGGTTCATAGCTTAGGGTTTTAGGGTTTAGGGCTTTAGGGTTAAGAGGGTTTAACGGTTTCGGGGTCTAGGGTTTAGGGGTTTAAGGGTTCAGGGGTTTGGGCTTTTAGGGCTTTAGGGCTTTCAGGGATAAGGGTTTAGGGCTTAGGGTTTCAGGGTTTAGGGTGTAGGGTTTTAGGGTTTAGGGCTTTAGGGTCTAGGGGCGGAAGAAGCAAGAAGAAGTCGGCAGAAGATGATGGCGGGCTGTGGGAAGAACCCGCGGAACGGGCCACT